TCTCAAAGGCTCAGATTGTGCCTGGCTATCTTATTAAAAGTCAGGAGACTAGAACTGTCTGACTGAGTGATTATTCAGGTTTACAGTTTTTCTCCCAAACAAGGAAAACTGGATTTAAAAGCACTTGGAAAAAACGACTTCACCTCTGTTCCGTGTGTGTACATGTACATGTACACTCGCAAAACTCTGCCCCTCTAGTAGCAGACTTGCACAGGAGGCGGTAGAGCGTGGACCAAGGCAGAGTTGGTACCTGAAGGAGGTGCCCATCACACAAGCTTGAGCTGAAGGCAAGAGAGGGCTGGAATATGTTCAACAGTTCCTTTGGTCAACAGTTGCATTTAGAAACCTCTACCACGAGCAATTGGCAAGGCTGTACTGCTGGCGGGGGGGAGTGAAAGGCTAGAGTCTCAATGCACTGCATTACTATCGGGGGACTGCTTCAAAGCTGAGCCGATGGCACAGGAGCGTGCAAGAAAGGCACAGGAGATACAGCTGTCACAGCCTGTTCAGTCGCATCTTGTACTGCAAATCTGCCCAAGTCTCCTACTGCAAGAAGTATTAGGAGAAACCATGGGAAGCATGAGGAGAGAGCAACAGAGAAGCTAGAAGGTTTGTGCATTGACAATGACAGAAATGGTATCTTCATGGGCTAAGCCTGTAGTTCATCAACAACTGGCACAATGGCGGCAAGGTCATGGGTTATGCTTACTTTAATTCTTTTTCCCAGGTGTGTACCAGATATGCAACACACACATCCCCCGCCCCAACGCCAGCCCCCACAGTGCAGGCACAACTGCTGGACTGTTGTGATCCCTCAGTCCATCCACTTAGGCACAGGACCATATGGGCTCAACTTTAATGTCGGCTGTGTCCTAGCTGGGACACTTCCTTCCATTCAGTGTCCAACCTGAAATATCAGGCAAAAGCAGGAGTCATGGTGTGGCAGTCCCTCTCCTTTCTTTTATCATAAATTTGGGAGCTCCTCCACCCCTTTCTGAGGAACCATGTCCAATTGTGGGGACAGAAGGTAAGACAAACAAGGAGGGCATGATCTGGTCGCTCCATGGCTATCGCTAGGCTGTGGAAGGTGCTTTGCCTTGGTTAGTAGTGGGGGTGGCTCTCTAGGCAGCTCCCTAGGCAGCACTTTCTCTGTAGGATCACGTCAGGATGTAGCATGCACCATGTCAAGATTCTTCTTCTCCTTCCAGAAGGGACTTCTCCAGACCTGTCCTGGCTTCAGGCTGCTACTAATAAGCCACCCCCCTCCTGGCAGCTGTGTATGTCACCCCACAGGACAAAATATTACATCTTCCCACCTTCAGCTTGCTCCTTTGGCTCCCTTTCCTACCCTGTACTGAACGGGGGGAGGGAGGGTTGTGGGGTGGGGGTGGAGGGTGGGGAGGGAATGGAGCCATGTCCGGACCTGAGGCCCATTGTTAGCACAGGCTGCTATAGCTCTGCATTCTCCCTCCACACGATGCTCAGCCCTTTCCTCCTCACTTTCATTTTAAGTGACGCTGTCCCTGTCTCCACCTTCCACCAGAGCCTTCCAGCTGCCTCAATGGCTGCAAAAGAACCCCCAGCCTAACTCCACACACCTATCCACAGGCAACTACCAGTTCTTCTTCCTAGCTGGATATATGCTCCTCACCAATTACCATCCTCCTTCCCGTTTTTGATTGCTTACACTCCCTTCCTCCCACTCAAGACCCATCATTTCCTCATGCCACTGTTTGTGTTACACCGGGACTTGCTGCCTACCTCAGCTACAGACAGCACTGTAGTCAGCCAAGGCTCGCTCCTCTGCAAAAGGAAATGAGAAAGACAGTTACATACACATGCATGCACACAGAGAAGAGTGCATAACATCTTTTCCCAGCCAGAGAACTAGGAACCCAGCTCCCAACTTAAGGGTAGGAGGGAATTCTGCAACCTACCTGGCTGGTAGTAATCGTAGACTTTGATGATGGCTGGTTTCAGGTTCTTCATCTGAATTATTTGTTCCAGTTGGAGAATGAAAGTCTGAGATTCATCGTTGAGCTTGTGGAGGTGGAAAGAAATTAGCAAGGAAGAGGAGAAAGAAGTCATTGCATCTTCATCTTCCCTAGCTTGAATGTTTTCCTGCAGTAAATCTCTAATCCATTACACATTATGGATTTTATAAATGGATTATGTGTGAGGAATAGCAAATGCTAACCCAATGACAATGAAATTGGGCAAGCTTCCTCTGCTCACAGTTCTACCAGTGCTCTTTCCCCATGACTAGCCGAGCCTTGGGCTTCTCACACAGCTCCTTGTCCTCTGGCCTCTTGTTCTCACTGTGCCAAATGAAATGCTTTTGTTCCCACTTACCTTCTCTAAATAAATGTAGACCACATTAGCTTTCACTTCTATTTTCTTAACGATGATTTTGCGCTCCAGCTGGGATAGGAAACAATAATACAAGGAAATTTGTGAGCACTTTCCTTAGGGCTTCCTGACCTGAGGGACCCACTGTTGTGTTGAAGGGATGGTGCGGAGCTGGACTCTGCGTGGAACTGTGTCTTTCTCACACATAAGGATTTTAGTGGATCTTTGGCAGTCGCTCATGAATGTCTCTTGTGAGCCCCTCAGGGATGAACTATGCTTTCCCTGCTCAATTAGAGGAATCTCCAGCTCTGGGGACAAAAGGCCGTGTGGATAGCACATAGGACTGATGCGTTGGTCAGCAAACCAGTGCAGGCACCAGTAAAGATTCTTGTCATCTCATCTCACTGACTGCTAGACTGCTCTTGGAAACCTGTCTGGGGGCTGTGCAAATACTTTATCTTTCAGTTTCATGGCTTAATTGGAAAAAATAATCTTTTTGGATAGAACTAGAGTGTCTCTAAAAAATCTTGTCTTAGAATTTCTGGCAAACAAATCATGGTATTTAGCACACCGAGCAGCATTTTTTTTTCTGGACCAAGGCAGAATACAGTCAGTGAGAAAAGCTGAACGACCTCTGATCTCCTGTAGCTAACCTTTGTGGGCCTTTTATGGAAATTAGAGGTTTTGGTTCAATTTCAACAGTAAAAGGCACCTGCTTATGTAGTTACCTCATGGCCTGAAATGAACAGTTCCCAACAGGAGCGAGCAGGTGGGACCTGTTCACCTGAGACAGGCTGAGAGAGTTGGTGCTGTTCAGCCTGGAGAAGAGAAGGCTCTGGAGAGACCTTATAGTAGCCTTTCAGTACCTAAAGGGGGCCTACAGGAAAGCTGGAGAGGGAGTTTTTACAAGGGCATGTAGTGATAGGATGAGGGGTAATGGCTTCAAACTGGAAGAAGGTAGATTTAGATTAAATATCAGGAAGAAACTTTTCCCTTTGAGGGTGGTTAGGCACTGGAACAGGTTGCCCACAGAAGCTGTTGAGGTCCCATCCCTGGGAGTGTTCAAAGACAGGCTGGATGGGGCTTTGAGCAACTTGGACTAGTGGAAGGTGTCCCTGCCTACAGCAGGGGAGTCGGAAAGAGATGATCTTCAAGGCCCCTTCCAACCTAAACCATTCTATGACAGCCGCCTTTTTTCTGATTCCAGAGTCCTTACCAGCATCCTGGATCTGGGAGCCAGGATGAATCCAGACAGAAGGGAGACTTCCATGATCACCATGTTGGATGTGACTCTGCTCCCGATGTAACTGAAGAAGAAACAGTCAGATGGTCTGACTCTGTGAGAATAGTGCCCTCCCAGCCCCCCTTCCCTCCACCACCATACCCTATACACAGGACTCTGAGCCAGGCAGCCCATCCTGGACTGGGGACACGTCAGCCACTGCTCCCTCTTGCAGGAGGTAGCCAGCACCTTCCTTCCCCACACCCTCTGTCCTGTTTGCCCCAAGTGCCGGGTCCCTCCATTGCAGCCCTGAGGCTTTCCCAGCTGCCGTCCCCAAGCACAGCAGGTCTTGCTGGAGGAGGAAACAACCCTTGGGGTCACCTGGTAAGGATGCGGATGGTGAGAGCACGCGCGTTGGCCTGGCTACAGTTGGTCAGCTCTGTGCTGACACGCAGAGTGAAGGTTACAGCA